ATTAAATCAATTATTTCTATAGGACTTGTACGTCTAGACAAAAAAAAAAAAATACAATAGGCTTGGATCATCCATATTTCACATCTTTTAATAAGTGTCATTTATTTAAGCCAAAAAATTAACATGTTAATTAATATACATCATACTAATATTTATTTGATTTTAGAATACATATTTATTCATTGATATATGAAAAATAATTTTTTTATTAATTATCGTTCACCATCTAATACTGAATCATTATTTTATATAAAATTTCCAGTCATATAATGTAATTTTTATTATTATCTATAAAAGTTATAGAAGTAGTCTTCTTTATGTAATGAAATTTAAAATAAAATTTTGAGTATAAATGTTTACAAAATACACACACATGTTTTTTAGAATTCAATTTTCTCATAATAATTCTTTTTTTTACGAAAAAAAAAATGATTTAGCAATTGCCAAAAAATAAATCCCTTACATAATCAAGAGATTTTTCTAATTTTCATCCTAAGGGTTTATAGTTTATTTAACATACTATGCAATAGAAAAATATTTTACAATAAGTTCATTGTTGAAACATAACCAAAAAAAAAAGTGATAAAATACTATCATAGTTGACAATAATATACAAATAAATAACATGTCGAAATTTTAAAGAATAACTATAATTTTATTATCTAACCATCAATAAAATCATTTAATGATGTGATTATTATCTTTTAAATAATAAATAATATTAATTTTATTTAAAAAAAAAATAGTGTTATATAATTAAATAAAGGTTAAAAATATTACTCGACAAATATTAAATATAATGGATATCAGTAAAATCATTGCATAAATTATTTAAGGAAAAAATCTTGAAGATCATATTTGGATAGTAAATGTAAATATGCAAGCATTTAATACATATAGTAAAAAATTTCCAAATAAAGTATGCATTAAATGTGTGTTGACTTTTCTTGCTACTGTTTTTGGTAAATAAGTTGACTTTTCATATATATATATATATATATATATATATAGATTGACAAATAAAGCATTGAGATTTGGTTTAAATCTATCTTATGTTGTCATATTTATAACATTATATTATTAAATTATTTTGACTAGTACAGATCCCGTGCGATTCACGGGGTGCACAAAATTAAGGTCATTTATCAAGTCATATAATTATATAAGTGAATAAAGAAAAATGTACGGGATATATATATTACGTGCATGACCTGTAATAGGTCAAAATGTTAACACGGGTGATGCACGGGATGCACAATTTTAAGGTCAATTATTAGTACAGAGACGGTGCGATGCACGGGGTGCACAATTTTCTAGTATGTGTAATACAAATACATACCGTATGCACGAGACAGAAGCACTAAATGATTTATTTCCAAAGAGTTTGCCCGTTAAGTAGTTCCTGAATACGGGTGCACAATTTGTACTACGTACTATAATCAGAACAGATTTCCATACAATTAGATAATAAATAAAGCCTTTTTATTTAAGTAAAGATTTTACGTATTTTTTTACTTATCGGATGTTATGGGATTTTTTTTTAAATCGATTTTATGGAATATAATACAAATACAATTAGAGGATTGAACAAAATCAGAACAGATTTATATACAAATAGATAATAAGAAGGAATTAGATAAGGAAAAGAAAAAAAAATAGATAATGAATTTTGAATCTACCTTTGTTTTAGTATAGATAGACTTTACGTACAAATTTTGACTTCACCGATTTTATGAGATTTGTTTTGACAAAATCAAAGACGAACACTGAAGACTGTTTCTATTAACATTTATACTGCGTATTTATTTATTTTTTTTGGCAAAATATTCTTTTTAAGTGTGATATTGAATATTAAAAATACTTAAAATATTTTATAACATCTATAAAAACATCAAAAATATTATATATTATTCACAAATAATGTTTGAAGCTACCTAAATTTTTCTAAACTACCCGTAAGGAAAATATGTATAAAAATTCTTCATTTAAGGAAAATATATATAGAGAGAGAGCAAATGTGTAAAAAAAATTATACAAATAATATTTAAAAGTATCTAAAATATTAGTATTTAGACAGGTGAAATTTAGATTTTTAAAAAATCTATATAGATAACGGATTTATAGTAGTAATTAGACTTTTATTTATTTATCTTTAAAGTTGTTACGATAAAGGGATGTGATTTTTTTGACTCGTGGAGATGAAATTTTATAAGTTGGGTTATGAAATTTTTCTTAAACTCATCCATATCTATGCGATGAGTTTTTTAAGCTGGGTATATAGATTTAAAATTGTAAAAAAAAAAAAATCATAAATCATTTGATTTGGTATTTTCCGAGAGCGTCATTAATTTAAAAATGTAAAATAAATAAATAAATAAATAAATAAAGTACAACTGAAAAAGTTATAACCAATTGTATGGAGAATTAAACTAAATCCAATTTTGTAGGATGCATTAAATATTGATTATATTTTATATTTAAAATAAAATAAAAAATAACTGGAATAGTTTTACGTGTTGTAATATATTACATTTAAAAAAATTAAAAAATCTTCTTTTACGTATCGCATACCAATATTTTAGGAAATACATGGATATTCTTAAATTAATATTGCATACCCAATATTTTAGGAACTAATTAAATGCTAATTTGATTTGCATATAAAAAATATTAGATGTATTAATTAAATGTTTGATAAAAATAACAAATCATTAATTAGGATTGACTATTCTACATACTACATTTAGTAAATAGTATATCTTTTAATATAAATATAGATTTGCATCTGTTAAAGGGATTTGAACAATCAGGTTATGTTATAAAATTATTTTGATTCTATTAACTGCGATTGTTAAGGGATTATAAGCTGATCATTATTAATGTTTCAATGTTTTTTAAAAGATTTTTCTAGAATTACTATAAATAGGGTATAATTAATGCATGGCGGGAAAGTGTTTCTAAAAGTGAATTATGTTAATTCTTATTATATATTAATAGATTGTAAGTAAATTAAAATCTGCTCAAGCCTAATAACGAAGCATGTAATTTTATCACATAAGATCTCGAGACATGCGAGCCTATCAATTAAGCTCAAACACATATTGATAAATATATAGGGGATATCAATCTAGTGTACTAATTCATGTCACTTCAGAAGTGGGCAGCACAGCAACACAGATGCGGAAAAGAGTAGAACTACTACTCCCATTTATTAAATTGAGCAACCTTGGATGTGATGATAAGAAGCAATACATTTAACAGCACAAGGTAAAAAGAATTAACACCATGGAATACACATAACAGCAGAAAAACTGGAAAATGTATTACGAGTATACGTTTTACAGTGAAATAAAATTAGTAACGTGATTAACTTAATTAAATTAATACAAACGTGATTAACTTAATTAAATAAACATAAAACATATTTTTTGGTGGATTATGTAGAATGATATTTGGTTATCTATATATTTTGAATATATTATTGCGGTTGTTTTTATTTGTTTGAATAATGGATAGATTTGAGCTTGTGGAATGTTGTTGGATTGTTCATTTAGATTTGTTTGGATTGTTCATTTGGATTTGGTTGGATTATTTATTTTGTTTTGTTTGTATGATTTATTTGGACTTTGTTTGATGGTATTTATGGTAGATTGGTTGATTTGCTCGTGTAATTTTGGTGTAGTTGGTTGTTAAAGGACGAAAAATGATAAAATCGAGCTGCTTTTGGGTCACACGACCCGTGTGAGTAGGTGACAAGAGTCGTGTGGCTACAAGAAAATTAAATTTCAGCTACGGTTAATTCACACGAGTCGTGTGTTATGTGACACGGGTCGTGTTATGTCACACGACCCGTGTGATTATGTCGTGTGAGTCTGAGATTTTTTTTTAGCAAACAACGTATTCTAAGAATACGTTTTAAAAATATTTTTAATTTGGGGAAAAAATTAGGGTTAGGTCAAAATCAATTTGGGGCAAAAATTAGGACAAAATCATACGGAAGACGTATTTCGAAAATACGTTCTTAGAAGAACGTATTTGTTCAATACGTTTTACATTTTAAATTATTTATATCGTATAAAAATAATTTTCGGATTTTGTGAAACTTAAAAAACGTATTGTTGAAATACGTTGTTACGTTGAATACGTATTACCATAATACGTTTTCCTGAAAACGTATTCTGGCTATACGGTTTTGTTCTTTTTAAATATAATTAATTAACTTAATGACAGTTTAATTACGATTCATAATTATATTACACAAAGACGGCTTCTGAGAATACGGTTTATTGTGAAAAACGTATTTCCGGAATACGGTTTTTATTTAAAAACGTATTGTACAAATCCGACTGTTTTATTTTGGTCTACTTCTTTTTTTTTTGTCCAGTTATTTTATTTAATTTTTATTTAAATCAAAAGTTCGTGAAATCAAAGTTCATCAAGAGATGATTAATTTGATATATTATATATGTAAAACTAATAAAAAATACAAAAGTTATTAACATTTCAAGTACATTTGCAAATCAATAATTATAATAAGAAATGATATTATAATACAATCAATACATGTAACATTACCATAAATAGTCAATATATAGATGGATAATCCAGACTAATTATTTTTAGATTGCAAGTAAATTAAAATCTGCTCAAGCCTAATAACAAACATGTAATTTTGCCACATAAGATCCCGAGACATGCGAGCCTATCACTTAAGCTCAAACAAGTATTGATAAATATATAGGGGATATTAATCTAGTGTACTAATTCATGTCACTTCAGAAGTGGGCAGCACAGCAACACAGATGCGGAAAAGAGTAGAACTACTACTCCCATTTATTAAATTGAGCAACCTTGAATGTGATGATAAGAAGCAATACATTTAACAGCACAAGGTAAAAAGAATTAACACCATGAAATACACATAACAGCAGAAAATCTGGAAAATGCATAAACGGTATATAGAGTGGGTATTTGACAAGTGTGTAAAAAAGGGTGTTCTTCTAATAGTGTCCATTGCCATGCTTAAGAGCTTCGAAACGGGCAGTGAGTGCATCATAGTCGGGCAGCTTAGGATGCACGCGCCTGGTGGGAAGTTGTGGGGCCGGGCGGTTGGGCGGTGGTCGATTCATACCATCATCATCATCATCATCATTCTCTTCCGATTTGGGTGGTGGTGCATAGTTGTTGTAGCCATGTCTTCTCGCGATTTTCGGTGGTTCCTCCATCTCAATCTCTTCATCGCAGTCTGATTCATCAAATTTGATATCATAGCTCTGCCGCCTTCTCAACATCATCTTCTTCCTTCTCACACTCTCATCATCATCATTGCAAGCGCCATCATCATCACCGTCATTGTTATTATTATTATTATTATTATTATTATTATTATTATTATTATTATTATTATTATTATTATTATTATAGTTGATGCTGCCCGATGATGATGATGATGGGTTAGAGGCGGCGGCTGCTAGTGCTGCTGCTGCCGCAAGGGCTTTCTCAGCAGCCGATGCAAGCTCTCCAAAATTCATCACACCATTATTATTGCTATTTTTATCTTCTCTGTACTTCAACAATGCGCAGCCAAAAATAAATGACAAAAGTGGGTGTTTGTCCTCTAAAAAATTTGTGGTTAATCAATTGTTCAGTAAACAGAAACTTACCTGTCTGGTAAGTTGATGGGCTCAAAATATTGCTTTTCGCCTGGTTTCAAAGGCATGCTTGCAGCACTTACAAACTTTTCTGGTCCTTCCTAGAGAAAAGTGTATATAGACTAAGAGGCAACATACAAGTGCACGCAGCATTATATTACCGAGAGAGAAGAGAGAGGAAACATACAATACGCTCTTCAGGTGGCTTCAGTAGCTCCTCCTCGGATTCTGCTGTATCCCACTGAACCTGGAATTCCTTGGCTATTTCCTTCAAAACTTTCAGTTTTATTTCACCAGATGGGGTCTTCACAGAGAGCTTCTCAATAAGCTGGGACAGGCATCATTCGAAACCAAAAAGGTAAAACAAATTATACGTAAACTATGCCCTATTATCAATTCATCTTAATACTACCCCAAAGACAAAAAGAAAAGAAACCAGAAATTTTCACATTAAGATTCATAAATACATACCATGCGATTCACACCAGCATTGGGTCGTAAATCGGTTGCAGCAGACACAAAATCCTTTCCATATTTCTTCTGAAAAACGTCACGAATAGACAAGAGCTCCGGGATATCTGAGCATCGAGGGGCAGCAAATATCAAACTCGATATACCTTCTTTAAGGTCCGCAGGACATTCCCTGCAAAAGAGGTTCGACTCATCATAACAAGGATCAAGCAGCAGGATATCAAATGAACAAAGAGATTCGTATGTACAACAATCACACCTTTGCTTTGCAATGATAGAGAGTCTGGCCACAACTAGCTCACAGAAAATTTCAATCAACTCATTTGCAGCCATAATATTCTGTTCTCTTATCACATGTTCAATCTATAGAACCACGAAAAATTTAGGTTAAGAAACGCGGAAAAAGCATTGGCTGCTAATAAATTTAGATGGATTAAACAATAAAATGCACCAGTAACATAGTTAGTTTCACCAAGTACAGAATAATGATGCAATAAATCATTTACTTAATCGTAATAAAGTAGGTTTCTTGACAGGTTGGGATACCAAAAATTTGATTATGTAACAAAGTGAATAAAACTACTTTCAAACTTCAGAGTATCGGATCTGAACAATAATCAACTCCATCAATTATTGACTAACTTGACTAGAAACACATCACCGAATAACTTTCTCTACGATTAAGAAGAAACGAAGAATGAAGTTCATATTAAATTCGTTAACAGAAAAACAACACAACTCCAAACAAGTTAACGCTACACAAATAGTTACAACCAAGTCGAACAAATATGACGATTAAGGATAAAACACGGCATACGATTCAACATTGTCGGATATTTCGGGTAATGTAATGCATTTGGAGAAAGGGTTTACAATCTGAATTCATGATTTCTCTCTTTCATAGGGAGAACCAAGAAACCTACACATTTTGGTCGATTGGAATTTGAAGAGTTTCAATGAAGGCTTATTATGCTCAACAGCCACCCAACTTACAAGTCAAGGAACAGTTTTCTGCCCCTAATTTTTTCACCAAATTGCAGCAAATGCAAGAGTTAAAATTTTTTCTGCACCAAATTTTTTCGTCGGTCGGATGTTTCCTCTATCTTTCACCGTAATCGGACACATCTCTCTCCCAACACACGGGGAATTAGATAAAGAGAGTAGACAGACAACCTAATAATAAACACGAAACAAAAATTAAAGAAAAAAAAAGGTACTCGAATGCGAGCGGTGGCATCTTGACGAGATTCGAGAAGCATAGCAATGTCGCGCCTCATCTGTCTAATCACCGCCTCTCTCTTGTTCCTCAGCAACTTCACTCTCGCAACCGCCATTTTCGCCATTGTTTTGCTGTAAAGAAAAAAAGAATGGATGGGATTTGGGATTATTGAAAGAAACAATTGAAAGAGATGATAATATAATATAAAAGAAAGAAAAGGAACACACTAACCATTTAGAGGGGTTAAAGGGTGAGCGGAAGAGGGAGATAATAATACCCATTTGGAACACCTTCTTCCAGTGTCGACCGCCGGCGCTTCTCAGAGTCATTTTTTTTTTTTTCAGAGGCAGCGGATTTGTGTGTGAGAAAGCAAGAAAGAGATGCAGAGGCACAACGGTCAATTATTCATCATCGTCGTTTTAAATATACATAAATTGGGTGCATTTGCAAGCCAACGTGGCAGCATTTGGACATTTTGGGAAGTGGGATTTTGGGGGAAAGAGCCGTTGAGTTGATGATCACAGACTTCTAATTTGTTTTATTATTATTATTTTTTTTTTTCAAACGATAACATATCTCATAGCATAAATAAAGACTTCTAATTTTCAAGAATTGCATTGGATTCTTTTATTTAAATTAAAAAAAATAAGTAGACAAAAATAAACAAGAAAAAAAAAAGGAGTGAACAAAGACAAAGAAAACACGTATTACAAGTATACGTTTTACAGTGAAATAAAATTAGTAACGTAATTAACTTAATTAAATTAATACAAATCTGATTAACTTAATTAAATAAATATAAAACATATTTTAAAAATAAGTTTTACTATTAAGTTACTCTAAAATACAGTTTATTAATAAAAAGAATTTTACATATTATATAATACAAAAAAATAAATTTAAAAGACTTAAAAATACATTTTGAAAATGCGTTTTATAAATAAAGAAAAAATTTACAACTTATTTGTTATGAAAATATTTTTTTAAACAAAAATGTATTTCGAAAATACGTTTTACAGGGATACGTATTACGATAATGCGCTTTATAAGAAAACGTATTTTCGAAATACGGTTTTAAAAAAATATATAATAAACGTATTTTCTGAATACGTTTTACTGTGCAGAAACAATAATTGTACACAAAAAAAATTTAAAAAAATACACCTGTTTGTCGGGATCGATTCCACAACCAAATATTAATTTCACAAACTAATAATAATCAGTTACAGAAGCTAACGTACACACAAAATTTAACAACAATAATTTATTCAAAATACGAATATGTCCAAATATCAGTATACAAATTTCAAGGAAAAAAAATAAAAATGTCCACAAATTTGTACAACAAAAACTAACTAGGAGTGTATGGATTGGGGGGTCTGCGCTGTCGAGAACCCATCCGACGCTGTAGTAGTCGTGAAGAAGACGAGGTTGTGGGCGTGGCAGCTTCTTCTTGTTCTTCATCTGAGTAATTCATTTTTTTTAAAAAATCAGAAATTCTATTCCACTTGACAAAAAATAAATAAACAAATAAATAGTTAGAAAATCATATTGAAGTTAAGTAAAAAATTGTCACCTTCTTCTTCTTCCTCCTCAGGCCCGGTGTCGGCAGCGAGTTCGCGAGCACGGTGTCTTCTACCTCCACCAATGTCGGCAGCGGGTTGATGCATCGCCCTGTGCAACTGCGTCCTTTGGGGTCGGACATAGCACTCTTGAGATAGAACTTGACTCGACGACGTCCCTTGCGTGACCCCTTGGCCTCCGACAGTCAGTCCACCGTAGAGAAGGTTTGGGAGTCTCGTATTTTGGCCTGCACATCTGGAGGGAGCGTATCAAAGTCAAGACTCGCTAACAAGTTAAAAGCCCCCTCCATGACTTGAGCCTGAAAATTAAATTCAAAATAATTAATATTAAACACAAAAAATAAAAAATCATAGTAATAAAAATAAAACTGCAAAGTATGAACACTTACACTACACTTCCCCGGCTCGACAAGTGGCTGAAAGCCTCTGTCTCGTTGGAGCACCGGGTACTTGGCAGGGTAACTGATTAGTCTCACAGTCCTAAAGTGAAACCAATCAATGTAACCTGCCTCAGGCTCAAGGAATGGCTCCACAGGGTAATCTGGGAGGACATTTTGGATTCTTTGTTCGACCCAAACATTCACAAGCGCTCCATGAAAGTCGACCCAATCATGGAATGCCCACCCAATCATTCCCTGGCCTTGGTGGTGTGTCTCCCATTCGGTCTCACCCTTAATGATCGAAGGGTCGGGGATGGACTGTTGACCCCTGAACTGACGGAGGACCCTATCAGGCAGGTGGGGTTTGCGGATGTTCCAACAGAAGATCCACCCCCTATACATTCAGAGGCGTGAACCTTCTGTATACTGGGTCGGGAGAGTACCCTCCTCGTCCAGGTACCACTGATAGGGCACCCAATCGAACTGTAAAAAAATAATAAAAAAAATTAATTAGGAATTAATTTATAAAAAATTAAAAACAAATATAAATAATAATCAATAGGACTTAATAATAATCTTACATCCGTATCTCTAAGACCTGTCAATTGATCCCGGATAGTGGCTGTTGTTGGGACCGGTGAGGATTTCGACAATGTGTAAGTTACGGACTATTATCTACGAATTAAACCTTAAGCGTAGCGGAACTAGAAGCGAGGGTTCAACGCGTACCGCTTTTAATTTTTTGCCGACTCTGAGACATTTCTGATTTCCGTTGGAGGAGATCGTCTGAAACCTAGAGTCCGTTGGGCAGCCGGACTAGTCCTTGCCAAGCACCGGATCGCTTGTTGTCCAAGTCGGATCATCTGAGGCCCATGTT